CGTTCTTGCCAAGCAGATAGTGATGAGATATGGCAGGAGGACCTTCAAAAGTACTGCAAATATCAGCACTTTGCCAGTGGAATCTCAAGGCTCATTTGCGGGTGTGAATTTTAACAAAAACGGCAGACTACTTCTGAAACAAATTCGGCTTTGGAAATGAGCTGTATTGTTGCAGTAATTGATGCCATATCACACTGTTGAAAACCAGAAAGCCAGAGTCCCTAGTTTGGGCCTTCGAGGAAAAAAGAACTAGCACACTTGCGCCCGGTCTTGAAAAGTGTGGTACTGCACCTATTTTGCAGGGAAAAATGGGGACTGGTCAACACTTTTGAGGGCCCGGGGCCCAAAAGTGTGGTACTGTCTCATTTCTGGGCACTTGCTGCACTGTCCCTTAAAAATCCGTACGAGCTCAAAGGCTTAAAACAATTGTGCTGCGCCGTGCCTGACACGTGTAGCGTGTCCGCTGACAACCCCAACAAGCCAAGCTTCAACGGAATTAGAACGTGTGCTGCCAGAGTGCACAAGTGACCGCTCTGACGGCTCTGCAGTGTCGGGCAGGGGTATCTCTATTGTGGAAAATTGTTTACCGGACAAAGCCAGAACAAACCTTTAAGGCTCATGCTTTGGGCGGGAAGAATTCGCCAACTCTGACTTTCGTTTGTTGCCCCCCGTTGGAAGGGGAGAGAGAGAGAAAGAGAGATAGAGAGACAGGGAAAAAAATCAAGGCTGCTTTTTCGCTGAAAGGAAAACTCTACCACTCCTCTGGAAGCAACACTTTGACTTCGACCTTCTGTAAAGAACTTCGAAAGGGAAGTCTTCAGGCCAGACATGGCAGCAAAAGCTTTGAACTTAAAGTCGTTGGAGCCTTACCAGCCCAGACCAGGAAGAACCTGTCCAAATCTGGAAGCAAAAGCCGCAGAAAGCACCTCAGAAAGAAAAAGGGCCTCAAAGGCGGATCTTGGGGGTAGGGGGGCGAGCGTATGTATATTCTACACGTAATATGTATAGGTGCATCACTATACCATGTTAGATGCCAGAAAGTATCTGCAACTATCAAACGTCATTTGGTATGGGTAAAGGCAAGAAACACACTTCGTCACGTTTTTGCCACAAAGGCTCTCACCCTTCGCACCCCGTTCGAAGGTTTATTTGGATCCTGTGCTTTCCGCGGTTCCTCCCTTTGTGCGCATGTGTGTGTGTGTGCGCGTGTGCGCATATATATATATATATATGTATTTGCATGGGTGTGCAAAATCAACCAACAAGTGCGTGGCAGTTGTTTTTGTCCGCTGGTTCCTTTTAACACCCCAAAAGAGCACCGTGAAAACTAGGAACCTTGGTGTGTTTTCTTTAACACCCCCTTTAAAACCAAGCCAAAACAGTACACTCAAAAACACCACGCCGCAGAAGGGGGGAATCAAAACGCCGTGCCCACTCGCCCAGGACTAGCGTCCCTGCACTGGAGGAGGTGATCGAAGAGCTAGCGGCTGAAAAGCGCAAGGCGAAGAGAACTCGCGTGAACCGCGTTTGTGTTTTTGGATCCACAAAAATGGGTGGTGTGTCTCATGGTTTCCCTTCAGAATAGAAAACCTAAAAAGACCCCCAAATGGGTGGGTGTTTTCCAGGGTGCACTTTCGGTGTTGTTGAATGAAAGGCGCCAAAAGGGAAGCCGCACAGTTTTTGGCGAAGACAGCAGAATCATGCATGTAAGTTGTCCATCAATTCACATCACCTACCTGAGTTGGGTGGGTTCCGAAATCTGCTACACACACATTGTTTTTTGACGCAAGCGATCGGAACGTTTATTGGAGTGTTTTTCTCAGTTCCGCCCTGTTTTCTTGCCAATGTTTAACTCACTTTATTTATAAAGCATGGTTACCATTGGCTTGCTGATACTGAGTAACATGGAGCCCAACCACCGTTGACGGAATATGTTTTCAGGAGACCCCGTTTTTGGGCAGCCATGCAATTTATAGGGTGTCAACTGAATACCTTTAGGCTATCGCCATTCCAGTGACAGCCTGAAAACTACCCTCTACACCGTGGCAGAAAGGCACACCCAAGAATGTTCACATCCCGGGGGCCAACTTTCACTCCCCCAGTTTCTGGACACATTATGTTGGGAAGAGTCTTCTGGGTGGGCCAAAAGTCTGCATAGTTATTGTGCAGCCCACTCAGGGCGTGGTTCTCTTTTGCCCGGGCACGGTTCCCTTTCTGAAAGGGAAGCTTTTGGTGGCTTTAGACATCACCTGGTAAAAACGCCCCCTGTCCGGAGGGTGATATAATTGCCACCTTGAAGGCCACAGCTTGGTTTGGAATGGAAGCTGTTGGAGAGTTCCCTCCACCAAACCTCATTTTTCCGCTCCGAGCATGATGATCGAATAAAAATGAGGAATGTATGGTTTGGTTTCCTTTGCTTCTCTTTACTAGAGCCAAATGTCGACATCTTCTCCTGGAACCAGATACGGATGTCTTGAGGCGCATGATTGTTCCAGCCCATGCGGCGAGTCCTGGCAAGGCTCTGACACCTTCTTTCGGCCACGGATTTTTTTTGCCTGTGGAGTCGAGGAGGCTAATATGACTGTGTCTCAACATGGCAAACCCCCTTTTGGTTGGTATTCAAAGCAAACCAATAGGAAACTCGTGAATTTGCAGGGACCACAAGAGAGCAGGCAGGTTTGCTCTCCCTGAGGTGGAGGCTGAGTACAGCTCCTTGGCAGTGGGTGTGGGTGCTCCTCCTTTTATTTGCGCAGTTTGGTTCTGCTCGAACAGACTGTGCAAGTCTTCTGCCTGAATGAACAAGTGCCCATATGCTGCAAGCAGACCCCCTGCCTGAACTGTTCCAGGTGCAAGAACAGGTCAAACAAGACTGGTACAAAGTCTAGCCAGCCGATTGACAGTTGCGTTAGAGGGCCGAGGAAAGGAAGTCACCCCTGCACGGAAGGAACCTACAGAAACCTTGGTTTCTGAGGAATCTTCTTCGGGGGGCTTGTGTGGTTCCATGTCGATTTGCTGGGAAATGCTTCGTTTGCAGGGGTACTCGCCGCCTGTGTGGAGCGATAGCGTTTGGAGTAGGAATCAGGTCCCAAAGCTCAGCGTGAACAAAATACGGCCGTCCAAAGTGAATCCACGGTTTCGGGCTTTCTTGCATGTTGAACCCGCTTGCTGAGTGTGCATCATGGGCATAAGGGAGCTTAGCCCAAGTTGCCCCAGTTGCCATGGGCTACAAGCTACTTAGTTTACTTCACAAGAACCCAGAAGGTTGCCCCTTGAACGTCAGGTTCTTTGGACAGATATTCTGCGAGAAGAAAAAACAGCGACAATGAGGTCTTTTCAAGGACAACTTGCTTGGCACGCTGACCAAGGCAGGGTTTGAGCTTGTGACACTCAGCCACATCGAGATTGGTTCAGTCGGAGATCATGCTTAGAGTGGCCAACACAAAAGTTTGCTCAGACATAGAAGGTTTCAGCACCCATTGTGGGGCAGTTATCAATTGCTTGAGTGTGAGTTTGTCATGTTAACACCATGAATAGTGGTCAGACTCTGAATATCGCAGCACTTGTTGGCGAAAGCTGGAAGGATCAGTAACCGGAAACGGGGTCTCAAGCAGCCCCAACATGGGTGGATTCTTTGCGACTTTCAATCAAGCAAGCAAGCAAGCAAGCAAGCAAGCAAGCAAGCAAGCAGTCAGTCAGTGAGTCAGTCAATCAATCAATCAATCAAACAAACAAACAATCAATCAAACAAACAAACAATCAATCAATCAATCAATCAATCAATCAATCAATCAATCAATCAATCACCCCAAAGCGCGTACCAGCGCCATTTAGAGGCAACCACCCCGCCGCCAAACATATCACGCAACATACAACTGGGGCCCGTAAATTGGTTGCATGTTGAATTCTCAAGAAACTACGTTTGGGATGGATGATGTTCTTTTTGAACTACCATTTAGATGTTTTTTGAGGATGTGACTGAGCCCCCTCGGCGGCCTATGGCAGTTTGCCATCCACTCCCAAATGCAACACACAGCACACAGCGCAGAGAGAGAGAGAGAGAGAGTGACAAAAAGAAGAAGCAGAGGGATGTTTTGCAGTCTTGTGCTTGTGGCATGGGGATGGACAGGATCTGTTCCCGTCAAACAGCTGCTCCTCTTGCCCCAGGCTGGTCAGCAGAAGGCGAGGCTTAGCGGCGAAGAGTGCTGAGTTTCACATCTCAGACTCGGTCGGTGGTGTTTCCTAAAATGGGAGCGCCATTTCAGAGCAACTTTGGGCGGCACCATTCGTTCGATATGGCTTCTCGTATGGTGTTTGGTTGCTTGCTCTGGCTTGCGCATTATAATTTCAGGTGAGTTTCCTTTGGGGCGAACCAGCGTGGCCAATGCAGGGGTTTGTGGCGTTTGCCCCTGAACAAAGGCGACCCGCGCATGGCGGTGAGACCTCTTTCCCGTGCAGGACAAGGATGTCAGCGCTGCACCCGGCCAAGAGAAGGCGAAGATCGAAGAAGACTTTCGCAAGCCACTTGGCCTCATCCCGCGTGTTCTCGGGGTATCTTGCATGTGGGTTTGGCAGATCCCAGGTGTGCCACCTGCAAAAGACGAATCAGGAAAGCTCATGGGTCCTTGCGTGAGAAGGATTATGGGTGGAACTACAGCGTCAGGCCCCCGCACTATTGGCCGTCCTGTGACTGTGATAGGGTTGTTTCACCAAGATGTGGGAAGAAGAACCCAGGCATTTGTTGCAGGAGCAACCCTGTGTGTGTGTGTTTGTAAAAGAGAAGCAACCTTGGAAAGCGTGCAGTCCTCAAGGAAAGGTCTGGCGCCACGGATGACGCCATACAGGAAAATCGCATGCGAATGCTTGTCTTTCACTTCGTGGGGGTGGCATCCCCATTCCCTCATGGAACTACCAGATTTCCATTGTGTTTGATTAGCTTACCTCTCTTTGGTCCTTGAAATCTAGGGCTCTTATCGCCCCAACGTTCGGAACGAGCGTTGGGATCGGATGGCACTCTGCCCCCCGCGGAAAGAGCAACCCTGTGTGTGTGTGTGCAAAGCATCCCCTCTGGCCTCCCTTGGGCGATTCCAAAGCTCCCAGTGGCCCGGAGGTTGGGGAGGATCAGCAAGCCCTTCATAAAAAAACTGGATCATTAGTCATGACCCAAGAAGCCTTGATACGTTGTCCACGGTCCTGGATTGTTGGGGCGCCTTATGTTGGGAAAATGTCAAGCCGCCGCTCCAACAAACAGTGGCTATTTTGCTTCCCAAGGTGGTGAAAAGCCGAGACCTGCTTGTGCACCTTTGATTACGAAGCTGGTTGTCCACCATTGACAAACCTCAGGCTCTCGAGTTGACAGAGTGAACAGGCGGTGGTTCTCTTATACTCGAGCTATCGATCCAAGCCAAGTGCAGGCGCATGATTGTCTGCCTGAGTCTGGATCTAAACATCAAAGTTCCGGTTCAAAGTTCAAAGCGATTGGCAAGATGAGGCAACAGGGCTGGGCTTCGACTTGCTTTTTGAGTTTAGAGGAATGCATGGCAGGGATCACAAAGCTCTGTGTGAGTGTTTGCGTGTGTGTGTGTGTGTGTGTGTGTCTGTGTCTGTGTGTCTGTGTGTATGTGCGCCTGTGCCAAACCTATGTTTTAATATCGTTTTGCAAGGCAAAAGCATCCTGCTCGCGCCATGTGTGTTTGTGTTGAAAGTAAATGTACCCCAGACGACCAGTCTGGTTTTCGCCTGATAGGCCCCCGATGGCGTCCAACTCGCTCAGCGACGCATAGGTTTGTGGACGGACTCACCGCGCAGCACGACGCCAAAGAAGCGGAGACGAAGGCTGCATTGACAAAGCTCAAGCGGAGAGGCCGGCTCTCGAGCGGGAGCTCGGGATCGGCTGCTGAAAACATCCCTTCTTCCCTCAGGCGATTTGGTCTGCTCCATATGTCCGAGATTTGGGTTTTCCTTGTGGGGACAAGGACTGCTCTTTTTCAGCGTACCTGGTGTTTTACATGATAGCAAGATGCCCTTTGCGCGAGTTCGCTCTATCTGAAGTCTTGGTTTTCGGCTTCTTGGCAAGCATTGGTCATCCCACAAGGTCTGCCCTGTTTATCAAACTGGACACTTTCTGGATGCCTGTAAAGGGCAACCAGGAAACATCTCGTTTTTAGTGTTGGGCAGTCAAAGACCTGTTGGAACCAGTTGCCCTGACATCGTTTTGCATTTGGGAGTTTGCCAATGCTCCTAAGACACAACAGTGGGTACATCTATTAGGTGGTTGCTTGTTGTTTTGGGTGCCTAGCTTTGCCCCCACCCAAAGACTTGTTGTGTTGTTGTTTTTTTTGAGGGGATCTCTAGGACTCACGCACTCCTGGCCGAGTTGTCAATTGGCATTTCGCTGGCCAAGTTCCTCGGGCATTGCAGTGCAGTAGAATCTGATTGAGGCCCTTTGCTAGCTCCCCCAGCAGTGCCCGACCACTCACCCCTTTTTTGGGGGGAGGGTTCCCCTACTAAAATAGACTACAGAAAAAAGGATACCCTTATTCTAACCTCTCTACTGAAGGACCTAGGCTAGCTTTATGGCCTGGTTTGAGAGGTAGGCATGCGTGGACTGCGGTTCACAACTTTCACAACTTGTTGGTGTCTTGTTCCAATGTTGGTTGCCTCTCAAACTCAGCAGGCACGGAGCCAGAGCTAGATGACCCGGCAACTTCACTCTTCTTGGTACAAATGATTCCTACAATATATATATATATATGGTACCCCCCCCCTGCATATATATATATATATATGTATGTATGCATATTATATATGTATATTGTTGTCATCTTTAGCGTGGGGGCTGTAGATATTTTGTTTTGCTGGCACGCAGTAGGTTGGGAAAGAAAACCCGTGTGCGCAGGCCTTGCTTTGGCCCGGAGCGTGCAGGCGAACAGGACGGGCTCGCTCCGAGAAGGGGGCGGCAGATCGTGTCTGGGGTTTGGTTCCTTGTGGTTTCCCTCTGACCAGTCCGATTCCCATTTGGATAAACTCCGATATGGCTGTGGGTCAAAAAAACATGTACAGTACCCAAAATGGCTTGCTCTGGTAAATGGAACCCATGAAATGGAACCCATGACTAAAACTTGTGGTCCCCTGGTGGTTCAATTTGACCCACAGCCATATGAACAAAGAGCAATGTTCATGATCAGAGTAAAGCGAGCGAAAACCCGTGATGCCGGTCCTTTACTTGCGGATTCCTTATTTGGAGTTGATCCCAGGAACAGATCACGGGAATGTCTCCTTCAAAGGCCCAAAGGGGGATTTCTCTGATTTGTCAATGGGTGAAATTCGGCGACATGGCCTGCGACCTTTGGAAAGGGACCCCGAAAAAAACGTTCGTTGCCCTTCGGTTGCCGTTTTAAATCGGGACCCGTTCGCTTGTATCTACGGGAAGGCAAAGTGGCATCGGTTCTGACGGATTTTGAAACAATGGGTTTGTCACATCAGCGCATCTCAGCTTCACAGGCAAGCTCGCATGGCCTAGTCAAACAGTCTGTGGAGCTTTCTCTGTGTGCGAGCGGGCATTGGAAGTCCCTAGTGTCCATCATGCGTCAAGTGCACCTAAGAACAACTGGTCCCGCTGCCATGGATGACTTGGACAGATTCCTTGTCGGGGGCAGGCGATTGCAGATGTCCACCTTGAAGTTTATCAACCAGGTCTCGCGTGCAACCAACAGGCAATGGGCTGACATGCCTCAAATCCACAAGCATAAGCCACTCTTCCCTAAGTCTGGCGGAAGCAGCGAAGCCTAGATGAGTTACATCTAGGCTTCGCTGCGGAATAGATTTAAAAGCGACGAAATTCCTGCCGCATAGTGTTGTTTGAGCGGTAGGTGTCAATGTTCTCATACACAGAATTGTACCGAGCCAGGAAACGGAGGCAAGCTGTTAATTATTCAGGCCACGTTAGATGATTTAGGGTGACGACCAGGTTTTCGGGGTTGTTTGAAGGGCAACCAAAACATTTTGGGATTCCCCCGTTCCAACACAAACCCATGATTTTCATCTAAATGCCTGACTTCCTGATCTCCAAAAATCTGGTCCACTGTCTTTTGCTTCAGAGCTGTAGCACAGGAGTCGCCAATTCAGGACCCATAATTGTTTGGGCCGCCCGAGAGGTTTTTGAAAGTTGGCAGATCAGCATCTGAGAATAGCTTACAACTATTGGGCCTCACCCGCCTTTCGATCGGGTTCCTCGGGCAACTGTCTGATCACAATTTAGGGGTCACTGAAACTGCCACTTAGGTCCAAAACCCTGCTTCATTGAGGGGAGTTCAAAGCTGGTGGAATCAGCAGCTTCAATGAACTGCCAGGGGGTCCCAGAAAGGCACATGGGACCGTGGGACCTGTGTTGGATGCTCCGTTCCCGGAGGAAGCCGCGCAGCGACTTGTGACCAGTCAAAAAGCTGCACCACACGCCGCTATTGCAGTGCGGTTGGCTGCGAAGCCGGAATTTGGCTGGTTCCATGTTGGTGTTCCTCCAAGAGGTACCATTCTTGTTCTGTTTGCGCCAGTTGGACGACGTGAAGCTTGAAAAAACAACATTTGCTGGTTTTTGCTCAAAGACCACCCCAGATCCGGCGACTTCGTCATGTCGGAGCATGTGGATGAGGATGAGGCAGCAAGCAGCATGGAGCCAAAGTACCGGCCCATTGTTCCACCTCCTTTGGAGATTGGTGACTCCGAAGTGCAAGTCTTTGTTGGTGAATGGGACGCGGAGGGCGTCTTCGTCTACCAGGCCTTCAATGACGAAATTGCCGACTGGGCCTTGCAGCACCAGCGATTCGGGGGCCCGGACTTCAACACGTCCCGCATGACCTGGATCAAGCCATCGTTCGGGTGGGTTCTGTACAGATCAGGCCACTCTGCAAGCAAGTTGACCGACTCTTCTGTTTTGTTGCTCCAATTTGCATCAAGATCCTAGCATGTCATCACTCTTAACTAGACCTCCAGTGTTGCCTTCTTTTCCTGTGTTAGAGGGGATTCCCTTTAAAACAAGAACCACTTGGTACTAAAGAACGAGTGCCTTTGGTCCCTGGCCACTGGTTGCTTGCGCGAGGCTACGGTTCTAAGCACGGGCAGAATCGGGTGCTAAAGGTGAAGCTGCCTCACGCAGCGCTCGCGGAGATCTTGGCACGGTGTCAGTGTGTGGACACCAACAAGGCGACCAGGGAAGAAGACCTCATTGCGACCCAGCTCACTGGAAACTCCAACTAACCAGGGCACGGCAGGTTTTGGTCCATGTTTCCATTTAGCAGGGTTCCATTTTGGGTACGTATCTTTGACCCGCACCCACTGTTCCTTCCCTGTTATCTCCACCCACTGGTTTGTACTGGCGTCCGCCTTTTTACTTGAATGTTTGCCTTTTGAATAAACCAGAAAGGGAGAGGTGACCACTGACCTAGGTTTGTTGGAATCCATGCAAGGGACCGTTATTGGGGAATTCTCCCAACGCGAACCTTGGGGAATTCTCCCAACGCGAACCTTGGCGGGTTAGCGAGAAACAGTCCCAGCCATGGATAGGTGCCGCCCTTGAAATTCTTTCCAGTGGTTCGGGTTAGCCCTTTTAGGCTAATTATTTCCGAGGGTTGGTGGTTTTAAAGGGACTCCAAAGGGGACGCCTCCAGGCGAAACACCCACGACACTAAGGAGACAAATGAGGAGGGCAGCAGTGGGCGAGTCCAGTGGGACCCTGAGAGAGACATGCTGTCCGCAGATGGCAGGGAACCGCGGCGCATGCTCCGCCGCCGCGCCATTCAGATCGGAATGTCCGGAAAGCTCTCGGAGTTTTATGCGCCTAGGCAAATGGAAGTTTGACCTGTTGGTTCTCCAAGTTCTGTTTGGGTGGCGTTAAACGGCAACAAGCAAGTCGTGCCAAAAGGACATCCTTTGAATTCCAGGTCCTTTGGGGTTTGCTATGTTTCTTTGGTTTTGCGTCGGGGTTTTGGCCAGGTGTCAAGCACTCTTAGCATCCAGGACGTCACACGGCTGGCGCACCGGATCAAGCTGGCCCACCGTTCCAAGAAAAGCGGCGCTGCAATCGACGAAATGCTCCGAAACCTGGAGTTTCCCCTGGAGCGCCCGTACATGCCCATGTGTACAGAACGCATACTCTGCAATTTAGGCATGCTGCCAGGGGGAACCGCAACGGCCATTGCCCGCATAGGCAGAGGCAAGGCTATGGCAGAAAAACATGAGCAATAATGCAATGATCAACTGGCAATATTGAAAAGGTGTTGTTTTGTAAGATGCTGTATGAAAGAGAAATTGCGCTTGCGAAAGGTTTTGCGAAAGCAGAAAGGCCTTGTGAGGAGATATTTGATGATTATTGGTATTGGTTTAAATCTTTTAGCGATGGAATTTGCGAACAATTGTTTTTTGCCGAAATCTGTAAGTAGTCCTTCCCTCCTCTTTCCTCTCCTTTTGTCGCTTGCGGTATTACCGGGCCTCTTCGGGGTGTTGTTGGAAGTACGAGAGTATTTGTAGATACACGGTTTTAAAGATATAATGTGTTTTGTTTGAATATGAATATATTATAGTATATTAATGCGGTGTGGGATTATAATATGTTAGTTTATATGATAAGTTGTTAATGATTATTAAATTATGGTTTGTTTTTGTAGATGTTTTCTATGTCTAATTAAATTATATTTTTTGTGTATTATTATTTATTGATTATTTTGAATTATGATTTAATATATATTATATTATTAGATTGTTTTGAATGTTAATATGGTATTTATTTGTAGGATTATTATTTGAAGATATTGAAATGGATATATTATTTTATAATGTATATATATATAATTTACAGAATATTTTTAAAATTGAAATAAATAATAATTTTATTTTATAAATTATATAAAGATATAAATATTACGGAACAATATACGAATTATAATGATATGAATGAGATATATAAATTAAATTGCCGATTTAAAAATAATAAATATATATATTTAATTTATTTGTTTTAAGTTTATTGTTTTTTAGTGTTTGTTATTATTTTTATTTTTTTTTTATTTTTTTTTTTGGAAGTATTATTTTTATTTCGGTTGTGAATATATATTATTTGTGAATTAATTGGTATTATTTATATATTGTATTTATATTATGTTATTTAATATTGTATTATATTGATTTTTTGTTAAAGACATAAGTATTTATTGCCATAAATATTTAGTAGGTTCAGCTGTAATTAATGGTTTAAAAACGATTTTTAGACGAGTGGATTGTAACACTAAAAAAAATGAATTGAATGAAAATCGGTAAAATCGATAATATATTTTTTTGGATAAACAATTTATGAATTAATTAAAAAATCCATTGGGTTAGGTGAGAAATAATAGGCTTGACATATTATTAATTCTATTTTGTTGTAAATTTATGGTATTGAAACCGAGATGTGTTGTATTGTATGAAAGGCGTGCTAATCCTCATTGATGGATTTTTAGATTTTGGGTTTTGTAATTTTTAATTGATTGTAATATATTGGAAAATAATAATATATTTTAATTATTTATTTAGGTTAATAAATTTTTGTTATTAGAAATTAATATATTTAATATTATATTCGTAGAATATAATTAAAATTCAAAAATCATCGAGAAAAATAAAATAACAAATCTAAAATTGGTTTATTTAGATTTTGTATTTTACATTAAAATGAAAATTATAGATATATTAATAATATATTTCTCAGATTATTTTTGTGATTAATAATTAATTGGCGACGATTTATTGATTTTAAATCTCCAATTTACCTCTATTTTCTCTTCCATCTCTATTCCTTACCACCTACAATTTCTTTGAAATTAAGATAGGGATGGAGGGCGGGATAAAAGATGAGAGAAAAACGAAGAAGGATGGCCATTCGACCATTTCGTTTTTCTTAGTTTTACCTTAGAATTTAGAATGTCTTTTATCTTATTTGGGCTCTGAATTTTCAGTTTCTTTTGTATATTTTTTTAAAAAGCATTGTATGATAAGAATGGAAAGGGGAATATAATGGTAATTGATTAGTTAGCGGATAGGATTTTTCTTATTTCCTTATATTATTTTTCCTTAATTCTAAATTATTTTGGGAAAGGGGGGATTTTAAAAGAAAGGAAGTTAATAAAGCTAGACGGATTGGAATAGTGTTATTGTTATTTTATATTTTGGTTTATCCGTCTATTGTTTATTATTCCCGAAAGTATGGCGAAGGGTTCTTCCGTTGGGTTTACTTGAGTTGTTCTCTTGAGAATCATTATAAGGTGTTATTGCAAGGAATCATCATCGTCAATACAAGGAGTTATTGTAAGGAGTCATTGCAAGGAGTCATTGCAAGGAGTTATGAGAGTTATTGCGAGCTGTATATGGAGTCAAGTGCAAGTTGCAAGTGCAAGGAATCAAGTGCAAGTTGTAAGTGCAAGGAGTCAGGTGCAAGTTGCAAATGTATGGAGTTAAGTGCAAGTTGCAAGTGCACGGAGTCAAGTGCAAGTTACAAGTGTAAGGAGTCAAGTGCAATTGACTTGCAAGGATTTAAAATATCTTTTTAGGGCGGCGGGGTAGTGCCGACGACACTACACGAAAATCGACCCTCTGCGGGGATCGGCGTGGTCGAGGTGCAAAAAGCCATGGTTTTTTGCGATTTCTGCGGTGCTAGCGCGACCCTCTGCGGGGATCGGCGTAGTCGAGGTGCAAAAACCCATGGTTTTTTGCGATTTTTAAAGTTCCCATGCGACCCTCTGCGGGGATCGGCGTGGTCGAGGTGCAAAAACCCATGGTTTTTTGCGATTTCTGCGGTGCAAAAACCCATGGTTTTTTTGCGATGTCTGTGGTGCTCGCGCGACCCTCTACAAGGATCGGCGTGGTCGAGGTGCAAAAACCCATTGTTTTTTGCGATTTCTGCGGTGCTCGCGCGACCCTCTGCGGGAATCGGCGTGATCGAGGTGCAAAAACTAATGGTTTTTTGCGACTTCTATGGTGCCCGGACAACCCTCTGCGGGAATCGGCGTGATCGAGGTGCAAAAACTCATGGTTTTTCGGGATCCTTTTAATTAGCCTATAATGTATTATTTTCTAAAAGAAGACGAAACTAAACCACTATTATAAAGCTCCTTTTTAAAGCTTCTTATAACGCTCTATAAAAGCTCCTTATAAAATTTCTTAAAAGATTTCTTATAAAGCTCCTTTGGTGTTTACGACTCTTTATTTCTATCTGTTTGTTTGTGTCTCTTTATCTCTCGGGTTATTTTTGTTTGTCTTTATGTGTCCGTGTCTATCGTTCGTCTCTATTTCTTTGTGTCTTTTTATGTCTCTTTGCTATTTCCACGTGTCCGCATTTGTCTATTTAAAAATGTCTATCTATATCTATCTCTCTTATTAGCTTACTGTCTATTTGCGGTTGTTTCTGCGAGTCGGTTCGCAAAGATGGCGTATTCCGCGTTGCCGCGTGCCGCATCTCCCCCTTTTAAGCTCCGTTTTTTTCCTTTCGTTTTGCTATTTTTTTCGTTTTTTAATGTTTATAGTTTTATCTTGCTTGCTTGCTTATTTGGCTCCTTAAATACCATATCTTTTCTCTCTTTCTTTCTTTCTCTTTACTCTCTTTCGCTTTCTTTCTCTCTCTTTTTCTTTCTTCCTCTTTTATTGTTCTCTCTTTTTCTTTCTCTTTTTTTCTCTTTTTCTCTCTTTCTCTTTCGTTTTCTCTCCCTCTCTTTTTTTAGAGAAATAAAGAGGGAAATAAGCTCAGGTGATATCCCCAACAGCAGGCGGTGCTTTTTTTAGTGCTCGCACCGCCCCGCAGAACCTCATGGAATCCTCGTGGAACCCTTATGGAACCCTTAATGGAACCCTGGTGGAACCCTCGTGGAACCCTCGTGGAACCTTATCTTGGGGCCGTCCCGGACCGCCCCGGAGCCTATCTGGGCTAAGACCCCAAAGCTTTCAGCTGTTGGGGAAAAAACACATTTCTCTTTCTCTTTCTTTCTTTTTCTCTTTCCTTAGTGCCGCTTTTTCGCCCACAGGATGAGGGCTAATTTGCGTAAGTCTTGTTGGGGCATCGGCTAATCTTTCCCGGGGCCGGAGGCACCCCTCACTGCCTCTATCCCTCACTACCTCCACCTCGGGCATCTCCGTTAGCAACAATTCCTGCCATGGCTCTCTCTCTCTCTCTCTCTCTATTTGTTTTGGTTTCTTCTTTTTCTCTTTTTCTTTTATTCTCTCTTTCTTTCTTTTTTTCTCTCTTTCTTTCTCTCTCTTTTTCTCTTTCTTCTCTCTTTTTTCTCTTTCTCTTTTTAATTGTTTCTCTATGTTGTTTTTTGTTGATTGCTTTTGCCATTTTTTCTTTTATTTTTTATTATTTAATTATTTTCTATTTTAGTAGGCCCCTACTAATATATATATATATTAAAATTTAGAAAATAATATGAATAAATATGTTTGCTTTACAAGAATGTTTTTCAAGAGCTTTATAACGGAATTTAATAACAAATATTATAAAGAGTTTTATACAAAAAATATATAAAAAGCTTAATAAAAAAATATAAGGAGGTTTTTATAGAGCTTTATAAAAAATTTTATAAAATCAATATAAGAAGCTTTTTAAGGAGTTTTAGTAAAAACCGTTACAAATAAGTTTATGAAAAATATAAAAATAATAATAAAAAATATATGACTATTTTTAAAGAATTTTATAAAAAACTTCATAAGAAATATATAAATAAAAATTATAAAAAAAAACCTATAAAAAACAAAAAATACACAAACATAAACAGAAAAAGACAGAAATAAACATGCTAGGAGACACAGAGAGAGAGAGGCAAAGATACGGAGATGCCCGGCACGAAATTTTCGCAAATTCGTTAAACTTTAAAGAAATTTATGGGGACAACGACCCCAAAATAATACCGACAACGACCCAAAATTCGAGAAAATTTAGTCGAATTAAATTCTTAAAAAAAAATTAAACACCTCCCGAAATTT